CAGTGCCCTTCCCCCACCCCCGGCCTCGCCCCCATCGTATTCCCCAAGCTCCCTCTTCCCTATGGCGACAGCCCCCTCTCACACCCCCTCCTGCCGGGCCTCTCCCCCGCTGAGGTGGCTTTGCCCCGCTCTCCCCGCCGCCCAGAGCTCCCAGTCGGTGGGCACCGCCCTCCTTACCATGAAAAGTCGGAGGACGCCGGAGTCTCCAAACCCGGACTGAGAGAGGCAGGAAACACCCAGCTCGCGTGAGCCAGGGGTGGAGGCGGGGTCGGGGCGGGGACTTCCGCTGTGTGTATCCGACTTCCGCCCCGCAGAGGGCGCCTTCCTAAAGGATCCGTTGTACTCCTCGACATTGGCCGCGTTCTTTCCAACATGCCTGGCTGGAGTGGGTTACAGCTCCTCTCTGCTGGGTCAGGCATTTATCCCGCTCCGGAATGCTCCGCTCTTTCAGCTTCCAGAGAGGAGGAAAAGATTCAGGGAGGTTGTCATTCCCCGGCGGAGAAGCCCTGCGGAACTGTCGTTGGCCGGAACGGGAGAGCTGTTTCCCGGCGGAGCTCTGAGAAAGAACACCCCGGGGCAAGATGGCGGTGGAGTCTCGGTCGCTGCCCCGGGTCCGGCGGAGCTCAGGTGTATTGGGCTGAGGCGACAGTAGCTGCGGCTCCGACCCCGAGCGCGGGGGCCTCGAGCGGATAAAGGTCTACGGCCTGTGGGTAGCGAGTGTGAACACGGTCGTGGGTTCCCCGGGTGGTGGGGCCGGGGACTTTAAGGGAGGTAGCCCTGGGGCCGGGTCCCTGCCTCACCTGGTCTGAGGGGCAGGTGCTAGCGGCTGGCTTTCGCGCTTCAGGATGGTCTCTCCGTAGCCTTTTCCATCTCTTTTCATCTCTGGGGCCTTTATAAACGTACTAACGCTGGGTGAAAAAGGTTTGTTATTGTGGTTGTTGATGCCGAAGAAAGACGCCGGGGCTAACGGAGTCACCGAGACTGGAGTTTGAATCCTGTTTTCTCGCTGTGTGGCCTTGGGTGAGTTTCCTCACCTCTCTGAGCCTCAACTTCCTCCTCTGTGAAATGGCGTAATTAGCTCGTTTCACAGAGGATGTTGTATAAGGCAAGGTTTAGTACCGTGCCAGACGCCCAGCTGTCAATTAAAGGAAGCTGGAGGTAATGATACAAGAAAAGCTTGTTCAAAATTTGACTCTAAGCCCCACTCGGCAGCCTTGCAGTCTCAGTGGGAGACTCTATGGATCTTGTGTGTTTCTTTTCCAAATAATTGCTTTGGAGTTAGACCTGAATTGAAATTCAGGAGCCTAGCGACCTCTGACAAGTCCTGTACCCTCTCTACGTTTCATTTTTCTCCCTGTGAAGGTGAGATTGATACTAGCACACACCTAGGTTGTGGTGGTCATTAAATCTGGCTGCCCAGCTGTTCCCACCATATAAGGAGAATCCTTTGGGGCTCAGTCAGCAGTTGTTCAATCCTTTGAACAATAGTCTTTGGATTCTTTTGCGCTTTCATAGTTCCCCATGAAGTTGGTCTTATCCAGAAACAACTGATCTTGAGCTGGTCTCATGGGAATATTGAAGTAAAGGAGAGTCTGAGTCCTGTCTCTTCTATTAAAAAATCTTGGCTCTGACCCTTACTAATGGTCTAACCTGGGCTGTGGGAGATACTCACACAGGGTTGCTGTTCTTATTAGAGGAGATCAGTTAGGAAGGACTTGGCCCATAGTGGGTACTTAAGCAACGTGTTTTCCGTTTGCTTTTCATGTGATCTTAATTATCACCAAACTCTTGTTTCCTCATCTTCCCACCTATATCACTATTGTTTCCCTAAATGGATTGTAAGCTGCTTAAGGGCAAAACAGTAAAGCTTGCTTATATGCTATTCGTTTCCAGATGCTTTTGTTAATATTGTCTCATTTAATGCCAGTTACAGCATCATTGGGTAAATGTTTCATTTAATTCTTTCAGCAACCTAGGAAGTAGGTGCATTACTAGTATTATCCTCAATTTTCAGATAAGTAAACTGAGGCCTAAAGAGGGTAAGTAACTTGGCCAAATGAGGTAGAATCAAAACTGAAAAAAACCAAGGACTACTCTGTCTGATCCAAAGCTTTTTCTGTTACACACAGCCTTTTCTTTGATTCTCAGTGGCACTTAGCAGCACAAGCACCTAATAAATACTTCACGGTGTGTTTTGTTTTATGGATAAGTTATAATAGACACAATATAGGTAGAGGAGGTGAATAAGAAAGAATTGAAAAGTGCAAAGTATAGATTATCATATGTTGTAAACAGAAACCAACATATAACATTGCTGAGGGGATGATTATCTCAAGGAAGGGATCTTATCCTGAGAGGCCCCCGGGGAAAAGTGGGAGTTTGAGGTACAGCAAGTCCTCAAATAACGTTTCATTCAGTGTCATTTCATTATAACATTGATGAGTGCTGTAGGAACTTAACTCTTGTTTATATCAATTAGCCTATGGTTTCATTATATGCCATTTGCCCCAGTTCCAATAACCTGTAGACAATGTTAACCAAGGACTTGCTGTAGTCTTATAGTCTTGCTAAGTCACAGTTTGTGTGCAGCCTCCTATTTTTTCATTGGGATTAGACTCCCTCTCTCCCTCTTCCTCTCCCTCACATATGAGGGACTGTCAGCACGTTAAGGAAAGAGCATACCTCTGTGCTCATGGCTTGGGCCCAACTCTTGCAGCTCTTAGGAGCTTGAAGCTATTACCCAACCTAAACAGGGCCGGGGGTTAATTGCCCACGTGACAGGACTGGTGAATCCTAGTGCACCCAGGGATAGGAAAAAAAATCTAATGGGTGAGGAATGTAAGGGTCCCAACATTATTTCTTCCTCCCAGAACCTTAGTGAGCCTCTGCTGGAGACTGTTAAGAAAAGAAAAACATTGTGTCTATGAAAATAATACATGAGCCCTGGTCAGGTGGCTCAGCTGGTTGGAGCATCATCCCATACACAGAAAGGTGGTGGGTTCAGTCCCTGGTCGGGGCGTGTACAGGAGGCAACCGATGGATGTTTATCTATCTCTGTCTGTCTCTCTTCCTCCCCCTCCCTCCCTACTGCCTTCTCTAAAATCAACAAACGTATCCTCATGTGAGGATTTAAAAAATAATAATAATAATACATCAGACTTATTGACTATGCTCTGTCAGCCACTTTAGTAGGTACTTGATGTATATCATATCATTTAGTCCTCATGATTGGCCTCTGAGCCATTTAACAGAGGAAGACAGGCTCTGAGACATCACCCTACAGTACATGGCAGAGCTAGAGAGTGCCTCTCAGTACTATGCTGCCTCTCCATGAGCTTTCTATGGGAAACTTAGAAAACAGAGGAGTTAAAAAGCAGAATTTTCCACAGTTCAACTCTCTCAAAACAACCACCCTTATATAACATACTGGTGTGTTTTGCCCCAGTTTTGTATGTATGTGTGCACATGCATTTTTCTTTTTCATGTAATTGGAATTATACTGGTTCACACAATTTCTTAGGCATAATCATTTTTCAATATTGTTAAAAATGTCAAACATAATTTTCAGTGGCTTTTTTAACATTCTATCCCCTTTGTTATTCTTGCTTACATCACAAAGCATGTAAAGCTTTAACTCAGTAACTTCTTTGGTCTTATAGTTGACCCTTGAACAATGCAGGGGTTGGGGCACCGACCCCCTTGAGCAGTTGAAAATCCACATATAACTTTTGATTCCCCAAAACTGAACTACTAATAGCCTACTGTTCACTGGAAACCTTACTGATGACGTAAACAATCGATTAACACATTTTTGTATGTTACATATATACTGTATTCTTACAATAAAGGAAGCTAGAGAAAAAAATGTTAAGAAAACCATGAGGAAAAGGAAATACATTTACAGTATTTATTGGAAAAAAATCCATGTGTAAGTGGACCCATGCTGTTCAAACCTGTGTTGTTCAAGGGTCAACTGTATTTTCAACCAATTCTCTTTAAACTGTGAGGACTGTGGAAATAAAGTTTAACATTTAGACCAGACATTAACTAAAGAGAACATAGTGCTGTTTTTTAAACCAGATGCACTGTATTTATTACCTTTACTCAGTGAGGAAGATGTGTGATGCCCTACCTATAAAACTTAACTCTAAATCTGGATTTTTTTTTTTTCCTTCCGCTTCTGCCAGAGAAGACAAGCTCCTCTGAAGTGAGAAGCTGCCCTTGGCTGTGAGCCCTCTGCAAGATCACTAATGATCACTTGGCATTTCTGCGACACCGGCAGGTCCTTAGGTGAGCTCTCTGGACTTCCACTGCTGGGGCCAAAAGAGTGAATCATTCAGAAGAACACCCTCTGTCTGGTCTTCTCATCCTTCCTCCTGTGTTTTGAGAATTACTGATGAGAGGCACACGTGTTAGAAAAGACTTGTTGTTTGACAGATGTGAAACTGTTGAAAAGGGGCCACAGAGGTCCCTCAATATGTCGACGTGGGAGGAGCCTCCCATGTGCCTTTTATTCTTTTTTTTTTTTATGTCTTTATTATAGATTTCAGAGAGAGGAAGGGATAGGGAGAGAGAGTGATAGAAACATCAATAATGAGGGAGTCGTCATTGATCAGCTACCTCCTTCACTCCCCTGACTGGGGATTGAGCTTGCAACCCAGGCATGTGCCCTGACCAGGAATTGAACCTAGATCTCCTGGATCCTAGGTCGATGCTCAGCTGCTGAGCCATGCCCAGCCAGGCTAACCTTTTATTCTTGATGTTTTCATGTGGGTGCTGCTTTGAGTGAAGTAACCTAGTAAAGAGGTTACTAGAACTAACCTTCTTTTCTAGAAGTCTGGATTTATGAGTAATTCACTTCAGTGTTTTTGTGAGCTGGGCTGATTATGTATTTTGGATAGAATGACAAAGTTATCAGGCATCTAAAGAAATCATCTGTACAAGAGGTTCCATGGACCAGTACTGTGTGCTCTGGGCTGTGAGCCAAAGCCATCCCTTTGGGAAAAGAATTACTGGTGATTGAGATAAAAATGCATAGCCCTGGCCAGGTGGCTCCATTGGTTGGAGCATCATCCCATGCACCAAAAGTTTGCAGGTTTGATTCCTGGTCAGGGAACATACATGGGTTGTGAGTTCCATCTCTGGTTGTGGCTCGTATGAGAGGCAACCTATCAATGTTTCTCCTACATTGATGTTTCTCCTCTCTTTCCCTTCCTCTCTGTAAAAAAAAAAAACTTTTTAAAATCAATAAACATATCCTCAGGTGAGGATTTAAAGAAAAAAGTGTAATGGATAATTTAGAGCCTCTATCTAAAAGTACCAGTCAGTGATGGGAGCAGCTCTTCTCTAAACAAGGGAATAAGTTGCACATAAAACAAACATTCACTTCAATGGATTGTCTTGCATCCTGGAATCATGTACCTTTAGCTTTTTTTAGTGTTAAAATGATCCTTTTAAAAAATAAAAGGCTTTTTTAGTGCTGGACACAAGGTAGGTACCAGTGAATATTTGTTGAATGAATGGATGAATGAAATAACAGTGACAGTAAATACTCATGTTTTGTTTTTCCCTCAAGTCTTGACTTGGCAAAATAAAAGTGGATAGCTTGGTGTTGGCTTCCTAGATATTGTGGACTGCTCCAGAAGATTCAAATATCTAGGAACCTTTGACTTAGAGGATGCCTGGTTTGCATTAGAGCTTTATGGATGAGATCAAGTCATGTTCTGTTCATTCGTTAAACAATTACAGAACCCAAACCCTATGCCAGGCTCTGTGCTCTCTCTCTTAAGAAAATGTAATTATTTAATACAGGAAAAAGCATCAATGCTCTTGGTGAGTTGCATGAAAAGAGCTGATAGGAATTTGGGACTTGTGCCAGGAGAGCAATTAGCACTCTGAAAGGTGCTGTCCACACCCCTGCCCACCGTTTGCTCTCGAACCCTTTCTATGCGTGTTTTTCATATAACGATCTACAGCAACTCCTTGCCGTTTTCCTTGCAGGGTTTGTGCAGGTTTGCAGTCATGTTCACCGTTTCTCAAACCTCGAGAGCATGGTTCATCGATAGGGCCCGTCAGGCTCGAGAGGAAAGGCTTGTGCAGAAGGAGCGGGAGCGGGCAGCCATCGGGATTCAGGCCCACTTCCGGAGTTTCCTCTGTCGGAGTCGACTGCAGAAAGCAATCAGGTGGGTGCCAGGAGCTCCTCAGTACGTTTTTCTCTTGCTCCCAGTTAACATCAAGAAAAGATGGCATTTTCTCTTACAGTTCTAAAAAGCCTTCCAGCTGCTGTGAGCTCCTAATTAAAAATGTCTCTTTTTACCCTTCCTCCCTTAGGAGAGAGATCGATGAGTTTTTTCAAGCAGATGACTCTGGGTCCAGTAAAAGAAGTGCACTTTGTATTTTTAAGATTGCCAGGAAACTGCTGTTCTTGTTCAAGATTAAAGAGGATAACGAGGTAGGGTACTAATAGCAAACATCCATCGTGCTTCCTGTCTGCCAGGGCTTTCATAAGTACTGAGCCATTTAGTCCTCACGGCCACTCTCAGGCAGCAGCTCACTGGTTCTCCCACATCCTGCCCTTTTGTCCTCTTGGGACCTGATTTGCAGGGGTTATGCTCAGTGCTTCTGGACCTCCTCACAATTCTTTTCTCATTGACTATCACAAGCACTTGTTGGACTCAGATGCATACAGGAGCCAGGCAGGTTAGGTAAATGAGTGAACGAAGCCATTGATGAGACAAAACATAATACAAGTCATAGTGAATGGCAGCTCACAGTGGTGTTGAGGACATCAGAGGGAGTGATGAGGTCTGAGGCACGTCCTTCCAGAGGGAACGGCCTCTACTCAGCTTCCGCCAGTGGTGGACTCTGATTTTTTTAAAGAGATGCTGGACTTCTTTATGCTCAGTTTTCTAATTTGTAAAAGTTGGTAGCTAATTTCAAATCCCTTTTAAATCCTACAAACCAAACAAAACATGCTGGTTGTGCCTTTGGGATTAGAATTAGCCCAGAAAATACAGTTCCAGGAAACAGCTAGTTATCTGTCACAGTACCAATGATACCATTGAGGAACGTCTCTGGGTGATCAAGGGTTACACGTTCATTGTTGCTAAGTCTCAGGTTGTGCCAGACCTTCTGCTAGGCATTGGGGCTCCAGAAAGAAGCAATACAGGCAAGGTCTCTACCCTAGAGAGCTCAGAACCCAGCAAGAAAGGGAGGGAGGATTACACTCAGTGAACACACGGCCACGGAGATGGAGACAGGCAGGCTTGGTGAGGTGATCCCCGTTTACAAAGGTGGAGACTAGTTCAGAGTGATGGGGCTACCACCCAGAACCACATCACTTTTAAGGGTGGATCCAGGGTTGATATTGCCACAGTGTAGTCTGGTGTCTGGCTTCCACTTTTCTTCTTTTTGCATTTCAAGATAAAATTGGTGATGGAACAGCCTGTGAGGCAAAAGTCAGTATCCATGATGCTTACAAAATGGCAAATAGGAGAGCATGGTTTAGGAAATAGCTGCTAGTCCACAGGAATCCAAGCCCAGTCTGCCAGGTTGATTTTGTGTTTCAAAAGGAGCCCCAACCTGGGTTTTTGTATGAAATACACCAGTTCCTAAAATAAATGTAGGGCTAATTGAGCCAGTGGGCGGCCACCAGTTTGAGAGCCTTTCTTTCCCATATCTGTAAGAAGGAATTTAAAATGATCATGTGTATGAGTCTTCTGGCATAATGCCTATACATGCCAGGTGCCTACCCAGCATTTGCTTCTTTCCCATTTTTTATTAGCTGTGGGAACTTATAACCCCAATTCTGCCTTTTTGCAGAGATTTGAAAAGTTGTGTCGCTGCATCCTGAGCAGTATGGATGCTGAGAACGAACCCAAGGTAAGTGGGATGGGTTTAGTGTTAAAATAAGTCTTATCAGCCACTTATTTGTCCATTGATCTTCACTGCCTTACCTGGCACTGGACCCAGCTAATTGGTCCATGCCACTAGCTAGAGCATATGCAATTTGATCCCTGTAAGTGCCCATTACATTTCTCTTTCTCCTGCTTATAGGTGTGGTATGTGTCCCTGGCTCTTTCCAAGGATCTCACCCTCTTATGGATTAAACAGATCAAGGACATTCTGTGGCATTGCTGTGAGTTTCTTGGGCAGCTCAAGGTAAAAACGAAACACTGTAAATATATCCTTATCATTTGGGGCCTTTAGTATATAGTTTCCAGGGCAGAGGCTTGGCAAGGACTTGGGTAGCAGCTGAGTGATGGAGCGAATGTCAGCAGAGCTCCCAGTGATCCATTCCCAGCCATCTCTCTTGAGGCAATGGTGAACGGCTCTCTTGGCCTTGCCTGGGCATCAAGCCACAACCCAGCTTGTCAGGCGAGGCAGGCATTATGGCACAGAGCAGTGGTCTTCTCTTGTATCTGCTTTTTGTGTCTGCATTCCACAACAGATTTCTCTTTGAGAAGAGGCACTTCTGCTTTGAAAAAATATATATATTTTTTAAGTTTATGCAAAGAATCACACATTCGGAAGAAAAAATACTGGATCTGGAGCAGGGAATATCTAAATTTAGTGCTGATTCTGCAGCTGATTTCTCATGTGCCCTTGAACAAGTCACTTTCCCTCTCTCATTCTCTGTGAGCATGGGGGTTTGAACTAAATGGTCCCCAGGGTCCTTTGCAGGTGTACATGCTAAAGGTCTCTGAGCCTAGACAGGCATCAGGCCTTTTCCCCAACCTGTTCTTGTGAAAGAATGTATAATAACAGCCAGTATTAAGTAGAGCTATCTTTATGCCCTGCACTGTTCCTAGTGCTTTATGTACATGAGTTGTTTATTCCTTACAACAGCCACACTATCCCTAGTCAGCAGATGAGGAAACTGAGGCACAGAAAGATTAAGAAACTTGCCCAAGGTCACAGAGCTAGGAAGTGGCAAAGGCAGAAATCTGAACACAGGGTCCCTGTTATGCTCAATTGCATTCCCACTCTGTTGCTCACATGTACATATGAACATACATATGTTCCTAAATGCATGCAAAACCCTCAGGCCAGCACGCTGGGCACCTGTTTTCCAGGATCTCAATTCTCCATTTCCATGGATACTTAGATTCCATAGTCAATCACTCTTTGGTCAAAATTCGTCATTTAACTCCTGAAAGTGGTCATTCCCCAAAATAAAAAGAAAAAGAAAAAGAATACTTAACCTTTAACCCTGACTTGCTTACTTGAGCCTGAGTACACTCAGAAAAGTAGTAGAATGGTTGCGTCACTGTCTGGGACCAGGGACGTGTGTCTTAATCTTACTCTTCATTGTTTCCAGCCTGAAATCTTACAAGACTCCAGACTCGTCACACTGTACCTCACGATGCTTGTCACCTTCACAGACACTTCAACATGGAAAATTCTCCGGGGGAAAGGTCTGTGGGACTTGCTTCAACATCTTCCCCAAATAGCAGAGCTTGGGCACCTTTTTGACTTTGTAAGAAGCATTTTTGCCATCACAGTCCTCGGGGAAGGCCCGAGACCGTACAGACAAAGGTTCCCTTGGCACTTCCCATCAGGTTTCACTGTCGTGTCCAGAATATGTTCAACATCATGTGTTACAGTTGCTCCCTTTTTGTAATTTATGTTAAAGTCATGGTCCCTTTGATCTTGTTTTTTATTACTCTCACAGCACCAAGTGATAATATTTGCTTATTAAGCCTTGTCATTTTATTTGGTGAGTCATTCGGCAGCAGATAATTCTTGTTGGCCATAAAATTTGCATTGTAATGCTCCCTCCTTCCCTATTATACTTAGTTTTATGTTTTTCCTGCAGTCACTTCATTCATCCATTCAATAAATAGCCTACTGTATGCCATATACTGTGCAGGCACTGGAGATACAGAAGAGGTCACTGTCCTGGAGGGACTTTACCTGCTGAACTGCCGCTCACAGAGCTTAGAGTCTAGTGGGGAGACAGACATTAAACAGAAGTCACGTGCATACCCTCTATCACAATAGTGTGAGAAGCGGTGCTCGGAAGGAAGAGCACAAGAGAAATGAGTTTAGTGGGGCAGGGACAACCTTGCCATGCTCTGTGTAGGGCTCAGGCCTTACTGCAGAAGTGATGTCTGAGCTTAGAGCTGTGGGGAGAGTTAGAGTCACAGTGAAGAGGAGGGACAAAACTTGGAAAGCCAAGGAAGCTGTGTGTGCAGAGGCCCCAGGTCAGGAAGGAGGGGTTATTTTAAGGTGTTATTGTGGATTCTGGGGAGGATTTAAAACAGGGTGAGTTCTGGGCCCTGCCAAGACCTTATATCTCATTGGAGAGAAGAGGGGCCACAGGGAACAGAAAGTGCCAGACACTTGGAGGGGATTGGAAAAAGTGCTCTAGTTGCTCATAGGCCAGGTGTTGCTTCTGGCTGGGGGAATGCTGGCCCCATCGCCTGAGACGTGACACTTGAGCTGGGCCTTCCAGGAGAGAATTCAGATACGCAGCACCTCCGTGTACTCTGGTCCCAGACCTAGGGAGGTGGGAAGGCAAGCCAGAGAGCATCTCGTTTCCTGTGGCGCTGGGCCTGGGCCATGGCTTTCTGTCCCTCCTAAACAGTTCATGTTGTGGCCAGAGATTTGTGTTGTTTTTTTCCTCAGACTTTTTTCTTTCTTTAGGTGAGAGTCTTCGGCCAGCCATGAACCACATTTGTGCAAATATAATGGGACATCTCAATCAGCATGGATTTTATTCTGTGCTTCAGGTCTGTGACTCCATCCCCTAATGTGACCTTACCCCCTATTATGCGACCTCACTCTCCGCACCTGAACTTGGGTTTTTATGTTTGGTTTTGGCGTATCTAGTGCCCTCCTCACAGGAATGTTTTGTAGGAAGACTTTAATGCTCAGTGTCCTCTCCTCCCACCCCCTGCCTGAGTCACTTGCTGTTTGTGTAAAGGGAGGTAGTGGCCCTGGGATCCCTTTAATGTGCTATATTTTTGGCTGCAGGTGTAATCCAGTCACTTGAAATTGAAACTGAGGGAGGAGGCCTCAGGCTTGTTCCCTCTGGTTCCTTCTTGGTTGGTGCCTGGAATTAACTTTCTAGCTCTGTGTCCTCAAACAGCCTTCTGTCCACACTGCACCTTTTGTGCCAGCCCATATAGCCAAGGAATGGTCAGAAGCCTAATTGCTGTTTAGAAGGGCTTTGGAATTCTTGAATGTGGGACGTAACATTGATTTAGCTCTTCCTTCTGCCTGGCACTGAGATGGGCTCTGTCCTGACGTGGCTTCATTTGCTCCTCGCCACAGCCCTGTGTGGTGGTGTGACGGCCACAGTCATACTGTCAGCAGTTCGTCTCAGTGCGAAGCATCTACTTGACACCATAACTTGGAACTGCTTCTCAAATCTAACCTGTCTTGAAATTTTAAGTCTGGTCTTTTTATCAGCCATTAATTTTTTTAACTGTTTATTGTTTAAAAAAATTAAACATATTTAAAGGTGAGAGGATGGTATAATGAGCCTCCATACCCATTACTTTTCTCTCCCCTCGTTTTTAAAAAACATCCCAATGCAATTTTTTTAATCTGAGGCACTCATTTTACTTTTATGCTTCTTTTTCTTACAAACAAATGAATCAAAGTTGGCATTGTTCCTTGACCAGTTGAAATGTTCTTTCCAGATATTGTTAACCCGTGGCCTGGCGAGACCCCGGCCTTGTCTGTCCAAAGGCACTTTAACTGCAGCCTTTTCTCTGGCGTTGCGGTAAGTAGGAAACCATCGCTGAGGGGCTGGCCTGCTCCTGGAGGCTTCCTCCTCTTGCTCCTCTCTTCTCTTGTTCCTCATGTTAAGTGTGGGTCAGCATTTATAGGAAGTACTGGTTTTAGTGGAAGGGCACATCTGTGACTGTGCCCCTGAGTATTTGCTTTCAGTCAGTCAGGGGCCAAAATAAAGGCCAGAGAGGATGTGATATTTCCATCATTTAAGAGATGTACAGTATGTAAGATGCTAAATATTTCCTAATAAAAATTACACAGTTCTGAAAACCACCGAGTATAAAAAACTGTGCATATTAACACATCTAGAACATTCTTAAACCATTGAGAGGAACACTAATTTAGGGAGATGTTAGTAAGATAACTTGATAATCTTAATCCCCAAGATAATAACCTGGTCAGACAGCTTGGTAAAGCTCCCTGCTCTGCCTCCTCCTGCTGACCCACAGTGCACCTTAGCACTGAAAGCTTCGGCGAGTCCTGCAATAGCAAGATTCTTTGGGCTCGTGTAACCTGATGTGGCCCCAGACACATCTGAATGTGGAATACCCTTGCCCAATGTTTAGATGGTGGAATATGTCTATGAATATCCCACTTAATCATTTCTATAGAATACCAATTTGGAAAATGATGGTCTAGAGCAGGGGTGGGGAACCTTTTTTCTGCCAAGGGCCATTTGGATATTTATAGCATTTACAGGCCGTATAAAATTATCAACTTAAAAATTAGCTATGAAAAAAACTCATGGAATTATTGAATTTCGAGTCCTGCCTGCAGTTGCCTTGGCAGGACCAGACCAAATGATTTTGCCGGGCATATATGGCCTGTGGGCCGGATGTTCCTCACCCCCTGCTCTAACCACTGAGCACACCTGCCAAGGCTGGATGAGCCACATTTTAAGTGCTCAGGAGCCACATGTGGCCAGTGGCTAGTATATTTTACAGCACACCACTAGAAGCTAGACCCTCATCACAGAGGAATAGCATTAACCAGTTATGCTGAAATTAGTTATAGGATTAGAACAAATCATCTAGCAAACAATCATACTTCCTTCACACTTTGAAAGAAGTTACCTAGAGGTGTATTTAATGAGTCATAACATCTAGGTACAAACAGGTTTTCCTAGTAGCAAATGTACTGCAGTTACCTTTCCTGAATCACCTTCTGGGGCAGCTCGTTTCAGCAGGATCGCCCACTCTCTTCTGTCAGAGGCAGTGAAGGTCGACACACAGATGCCTGGGCTCTGGAGTTCAGGAGCAGTTCTGCTGCTGCCTCCGTCTCCTGAGAGCACAAATCTTTTTTTCCATTCCAGCATCCTCCACGATATGGTTGTAATTACACAATGTGTGTAATTCACATTGTGATTTACCAAGAGGATCACATCGGATCATTCCACCACATTTCTTCTTTAAGAATTGAACAGCATCCGTTATTTTAGGTGTTATTCTATGTGTCACAATCCAGTGACTCACTTCTAAAGGCCAAGCTGCTTGAAAGCCTTTTTCTTAAAAAGTACACCTTTCTCCCCCTCCAAATATTTGTATGCAATTGAACACGACCAGGACCTTTTAAAACAAGATATTCAGTTGTTTTGTCATTCAGGGATATACTACTGAAAGTATATAAAATCTATAAGTGATAACATTTAGACATGATCACCAAATCCTATAATACAGATAGCTAATGTTCATGGGTCACACATTGTTTTAAGACGTCTACACATATTAACTGACTCCTTACCACATTCTCTTATCTCCATTTTATAGATGAGGAAACTAAGGCCCAGAGAGGTTAAGCCACTTGTCGTTGGTAACACAGCAGCAAGTAAAAGGGCCAAGAATTAAACTCAGGCCATCTGACTCCAGAGCCCACACTCATTATTCATTTTTTTTGTTTCACATGTTGGACACATTTTTGTACTCTAAAAACTATAAATTTCTTTAAGTAATGGTACATGGGAACCTTCCCAAACTCATCCTGTTTGACTTATTATCCAGGCCCCCTGTTTATCCAGGTACATGTACCTGCTGGCCCTGGTTCTGTTTTTACCTGTGTGCTGTCCTGCTCCCTGGTTGCAGCGTGAGCACTCTGTTGGCTGAGACGATGCGTTAAACTCCTTTTACCCTCCTCCCCTGCTGTGCGTAACAGAATGGATGTGTGCCCTGTTAAAGTACAGCTAGCAGTGCATTTGTCAGGATGAGGGGGCTTAAAGAGCAACCACTACAAGTAGGCTAAAGAAAGATTTCGATGACCTCATGTCAGTAAAACTTCAAAACTGACTTTTCATAGCTGTGTCCCGTGACTGTACTGTCATTGACTCAACCATTCCTTTAGTGAATGTCCCCATTTTCAGTCTCTAGTTTTTCTAGAAGTCCTGGGCAGCATAATTTCAAGAGATTTGGGGGCATTGGTAGGTTCACATGCAAACCTGTCTGAGTAAGGCGATCTATCCGTCTAGCCCTGTGATTGCTGCACAGTTTTCAGACAATCTGATCCGGCCATTCCTCATCCACATCATGTCTGTGCCAGCTCTTGTGACTCATCTCAGCACAGTGACCCCTGAGGTAAGTGGGCTCTGTGAGTTTCCCCAATTCTATTTTTGCCTTAGAAATTAGAACGTAAAATGTTTCCTCTGTTAATTCCCACCTCTTCCCTGATTTTTATTCTACATCAGCAGCCACTGTAGACACACTTTTGTTAGTAGCCCAAAGAAACAGGTTCTCATCTTTGTTCATTTTCTTCTTGGTGATCAATAGCATGTTTGGCTACTGGGGGATGATCTGCAGGTGGTCAAGTTTATGCTGTAATGGGAAACTCTTCCTGTCAGCTTCCGCTTTAACAGTCTGCAATTGTTTGCAGCGCCTCACTGTTTTAGAATCTCATGACATGCTTCGTAAATTCATCACATTTTTAAGAGATAAAGATCGATGCCGTGATGTCTGTGAAAGTTTAGAAGGATGCCATACGCTGTGTCTGATGGGTGAGTATCTGTGGTGGGAGAGTGATTGTGTTCTGGGCATCAGGAAAAGCCCAAGTGTTTTTCTGGAGATCACGAGCTGTTTTTAGTAACAATTAGAAGTGCTTACAATAAAAAAAACATGTAATCAGTAGACAGTTAAAATAGGCTTGTAAAATTGAAAATAGCATGGGAAATAGATCAACTGGGCAAACTGCTTGAATGACTGTAAATGAATGTTAAATTTCAGCCCTTAGCTTCCTGGCAGCCAAGGGAAAATGGGAAAGTGATGAGTTGCCTGGATAATTCTTATCTTTGGGAGAAGGGAGGGCTCAGTTGGGTAGGGCCTAGAGTAGAGTAGGACCTGCATCATTTTTACTACGTTTTCATTGTAGATGAAAGGGTTTGTGGATAGAAGGATTTGAAAACAGCAGACCTACAGTTCTCGCTGCCTCATTTATTTCACATAGAAAAGGGTTCTTGGGGCTAAATTTTAAGGGAGTCCTCACACAAGGCATGTTAAATAACTTTGGCGAACTTCGAATAACTGGTTTCCCAGGAAATTCAGATATTTTTCAAAAGGTCATTTCTCGTTAACCATTGGTTTTCGAATGTTAGTGTAATATTAAAATATCACTTGCCCTTTGTGCCAGACATTCTACATGTTACTTTAGACATCAAGAGTGGGGGTTGTTATTCCAGTCTTACAGATGAGCAAACAAGGTTCGAAAGGTGGGTTGAGGGTCATACAGTTGGTCTGTGGCAGAGCCAGGATTGGAAGCCAGGTCAGCCTAGTTCTTAGCCCTGCACTGCACTGCAGCCCCAACACTGACAAATGCCCCTCTGTGTGGAATTCCTTCTTGCACGTAGATGTGGCTGCCTGAGCCCCAGGTAGAGAGCAGGGCTGGGAGGTGACGAAGCGTGTCTGCCTGGGCGCAGTGCACTCAGTCTTATCCCTTTGCAGGCAACCTCTTGCACTTGGGCTCCCTCAGCCCCAGAGTGTTAGAGGAGGAGACGGATGGGTTTGTGAGTTTGCTCACCCAGATGCTGTGCTACTGTCAGAAGTACGTGTCCCAGAAGAAATCCAACCTGACCCACTGGCACCCTGTCCTCGGCTGGTTCTCCCAATCTGTGGATTATGGGTGAGTCCTGGTGGCAAATCCTGTCTTTCCTGCCTCCTCCTGCCTCTCTCCCACCACCTTTCCTTTCTTTCTCTATTTTAGCTTATGGTGTTCTGTTTCTTATTACAAAAGTAATATATAGTCATTGTATAAAATATAGATATGAACAAAAGGGAATAAAAACCATCTCCTAACACTACTATGCTAAGACAATCCTTGTGCACATCCTTTCTTTCTTTCCTACCAGTTTTTTTCACAAAACAAGACCATATTAATTTGTATTTCGTTCTTTTCATGTAGTAAATATGAACTTTATCTATTAATATTATCTTTTCTTTGTCAATATGATTTTGTTGATTGCCTAGACTGTCATATTTTGGAGAAACTAAATAAGGCACATAATTTAAAGGGAATAGAAGTCACCCCAGATCCTTCTCAAAAGGTGGAATATAAATTGTAAAATTTTTAATCAAGAACGCAAAAAAAACATTTCAAAAACACTCACTAGACTAGACTAGAAAGAAGATGGCGATGAAGCAAGGTGGCGCTACCAATTTAAAATGTTTACCCTGGGCCGAGACAAAGCAGGTCTCAGGGTCTAAGGCTGCTGAGCTGCTTATCTGTTTTCCTGTTCGCATATCTGCCTGAGGCCTGGGATCCCTGCTGAGTGTTCTTGAGGCAGAAACCCAGGGCCAGGGAAGGAAATCCCTGGGTTTTCTCCCTTTTCCTTATACCTGAGTGACATCCTGTTAAAAAGACTGATTGCCAGCTGGCGACCAGTGTGCTGCTGGAGACTGAAGATGGAGGAGTGTGTGTGTTGGGCATCGGGATATTGTGGCAGAGGGTGGGCAGACTAGCACCAGCTGAACAGCCTGGTCCCAGCTGCCCTCCAGTTCTCTGGAGGGACGTTGGACAAGTCACTTCACCTCACTTTTCTCATCTGAAATATGGGGGTAGGGGTGTCTCAAATGAGATTGTGTCAGAGCCTGCCACAGGCCCGGCCCATGCTCAGTGAGACCATTATAGGGTCTTGAGCAAGGGGGTGATGAAGGCAGATCTCAGGGTATGAGTGATGCTGGGGTGCAGTGCAAAGTGAAGAAAGGGGCACTTGAAGGCAATGGGGCTCTGAGGAGACTGGAGAGTCAGTGAGGTTTGTGGGCCGGGCCTGCAGCTTACTGTGAAGAGGAGGACAGCACAGCAGGCGTGAGATGGCTTTGTCAACTGAGTGGTAAACAGGATGGAATTAGGATGAAGAGCAGGTAAAGGGTGGCTGTGACATGTTAGCTTGGGGACCTAGGGAGAGCAGTAGTCCTGTTGGCAGCACAGGAAGTCTGGGTGGAGTGACGGAAGAGAAAGAGGCCAGGCCTCAGCTGCAATTTGTGGGTCCCCTTTTTAAATAGTTATTATTAACTTATTGACCATGTCAAGTGGTAGACCGTAGCTATACTTCCAGGTGGAAGGCCCCTTATGGAGCCGCATGGGCTGTCCCTGGCCATTTGCCAGGTGGAACTGACACACGTGGTCTTCTTTTCTCTCCTAGCCTTAACGAGTCAATGCCCTTAGTCACCAGACAGCTGCAGTTCCTGTGGGGGGTGCCTCTGATCCGTATCTTCTTCAGTGACATCCTGAGCAAGAAGCTGCTGGAGAACCAGGAGCCGGTGGCCCACGTGCAGCCTACCTCCCCACAGAACGTGCTTCCAATGAAGAGTGAGTGGCTGGAGCAGACCTGGCCCGTGGCTCTGTTGGGTGGAAGTGCAGCTTCTTAGTGTTCCAGGGTGCCTGTCCCCTCTGTTCCGTGATGCTCTACCTTCTCCCACAAAAATTTGAGACTGCTTAAATCAATTTTATATTTAGCAAAACAGACAGTCCTTAGGAATAGAAAACGAGGACCTGAGAAATAGAAATAGAAATAGGTGAACAAAATCAAGGTCATGTACAGAGAATGTCCACTGATAAATGTTCCACGAGGCCACTGTGGTTTTCTCTGAACTTCCACTTGGCTCTGAATTTCTAGTAGCCAAAATGAAAAGGGACTTGGGACCCTTCCTTCTCATAAATAGGAGAACCTGTTTCTTGGGGGAAATTGAGCTGCTCTGAGTTCCTAATCATAAAAGAAATCTCCCATGTGGGACTCCTGACCCGGCTACCAGCTTAGCAGTGTCCCCACCACAGAACTGATAATGTTTTCTATGGAAAAGTTTCTTGTTTCCCGATCTGGTGAAAGTTAGGGAAATGCCATTCACACATAATTCAGTGGAATTACCTGCCAGCAGCCGATTTCCAGGTTCAGGTGGCTTTTCCTCTGCCAGCCACTGTGCTGCAAAGTCCCATCTTGTAGCTATCAGTGAGCATGGGCTCAGCGAATAGAACTTCAGCAGGATGTAAATGGGAAGCTTTAAAACAAAAGTAGAGTACAGCCCCAAGCTGAATATCACTACTTGAGGTTGACACCCCTTCCATCTAAAAGCACAGAAAGTTGGGGATCAACCACGTCCCCCGAATTTCCCCCGCTTCCCCTAATACAGTCCTCGGAATTTTTACCTTTGTGGGTTCTGAAGTTAAGTGGTACAGTAAAAGGGTCCCATGTAAGAACCAGATTGCCTGGCTGCTTCTCAGAAATTTTCTGATTCTGAAGCCTTCTTTGGGTTTTACCTAAAAACCTGTTGTTAATGTGTTTCTAATTTATCCCAAAGAGATGACTTGGATCAAGCAGCAGCCCCACCGTCTGGCTGTGGCTGTAAATTAGGAGTTTTGTTGAAATGCTCTTCCCTTTCCAGGGTGGAACCTGGCAGATGGCTGAACTTCGAGCTTCCGTTCACATGTTCCTTCTTCTCTCACTGTCAGATCTCCTGAAGCGTGCGTTTCAGAAGTCGGCATCAGTGCGGAACATCCTCAAGCCTGTCGGGGGAAAACGCGTGGACTCTGCGGAGGTGCAGAAGGTTTGCAACATCTGTGTCCTCTACCAGACCTCACTGACAACCCTGACTCAGATCCGGCTGCAGATACTAACAGGTGTGGAGCCTGAGGCGCCTTCCTCTGTCACTCACATTTGGCCGATGGTTTTGCTTGGAACAAGTTGATTTTCTTTTGGCTTCCTTGAAGGAGGGTATTTTGGGGCCATTCTTAGAGTCCCATTAGTTCAACAGCTCAAACTAATCTCAATCCTGGCACTTCCAGATTGTTCCTGTGACCAGACTCTTTGTTTTCATTATGAAGTACAATTTGCTTTTAAAAAGTTACTACTTTTTCTGAACAGAAAACTAGAAAAGACAAGGAAGCAGAAAAAACAAAACTTAAGCCGCTCTTAATCCCACAATCCAGACACAACTACTTGTGCCTGAGCGTGCTGCTTGTATGTATATTTAGGTTGAAATCTGTAGTTTTATCTTTCCCTTTCCGTTAGTCACCTTATAAGCATTTTATCATGTCGAAAATTCTTCAAGAGCTTCATTTATATAGGCTGCATAATATGTCATTGCATGGATATGCCCAACATTTTCCTTTAGCTGAGTGAGGAGGAAAGTCCCCTCTGTGAGCAAAGAATTGGGCATCAGGAGCCGCTAAGTGGCAGTGCAGGAGTTCTGATGAGTTGCTGTCATGAGGACAAGAAGCCTGTAGGCCGTGAAGCTGTTTACTGCATAAAGGATTAAGAATTCCTCTGCTGCATTGTATAAGTTGGTGCTGCTTCTCCCTTTCACACTCAAGGCTTCATCTTCACGTGTCCACAGAGCACCTGTTTGTGCTGGGCAAGGCTACAGAGGTGAATAGGACGGCCACTCTCTGTGTCCCCAAGGGGATTATAATCTAGAAGGTGGAGACCAATCATCAGCAAGGGGAAAATATATTTAACTTAATGATGGGCACTATGACAGTAAAGATAATGAGAGTGTTGGCTTGGCCTAGAGCAGGGTTTCTGAGCCTCAGCATGGTTGACACTTTGGGCGAGGTGATTCTTTGTTGTGGGAGCCTCCCCGTCCATTGTAGGATGTTTAGCATCCCCTGGCCCCTACCCACAGGTGCCGGTAGCACCTTCCCCTGCCCTCTAGTTGTGACAGCTGTACCTGTCTCCAGACATTAGCAAGTCCCCCTGGGGGCCAAAATCATCCCTGGCTGAGAAGAGCTGAACCAGTGTAGTGATGGAGAAGGAAGCAGGATTTATTGACATGTTTCAAAGGTACATTGGATCTGGAGGAGTGGGGCCTAAAAGTTTCAGAGAGGATTCCAGAGTTTTGGCCCCAGCAGCAGTGAGGATGGTGGTGCCATTTGCCGACCAGGGGATGACCGGCTGGGGCAGGGCTTGTGGGACTTGGAGAGTTCTGTTTTGGCTGTGATGAGTTTAAAGTGCCTGCTGGACCTGCAGTGGAGGTTCCAAGCAGTCATTTGACAGTACTCCATTGAGGCATGAAAAAGGGATGGCCTTGGGCCTAGGGCAGTTTCCCTGAGGAGAGTGCAGAGGGAGAAGAGAAGGGGCCCAGACAGGCCTGAGCACCCCAGCACTCACTATGAGGGCTTGGGAAGCATATTGAACTAGATGCTTTTGCTGCCTGTGTTCACCTTTTTAAAGATGACCATAAATTTAAGCATCCCCCATTGTCCCAATATAAGAATCCAAAAAGAAGTTTTTTGGCCAATTTGAAGGTGTATACTTTTAAGAATGATGATAAACTAGTTTAAAAGTGTCTGTATAATATCCAATCTATTAGTTTGTCTATGTACACATTAGATTATAGACAATATACTAATTTTTAAAATACTGCTGTTTTTCTGCTCTCAAAATCTTACTGGCTGTGTGATTTTGAGCCAGTTAACCTCTCTGGTCTTCACTTCCCCACTCCAAAAATGGAGGTAACATTGGGTTTCACATTGGAAAGAAGATAATACGTATAAAGTACCTGGAATAGTACCTGGCACATAGATAATAAGCACCCATTACATGTTTGCCATTAGCATGATTCTCATGGTGATGATGATTTCTTAGTAATTGCACCTTGTTTCTCTCACACACTGAATGGTCACTACTAGGTGTGTTTTGTTTTCCTGGTGGGTATGGAAATAATGGACCAGATGGAGCCCCCGCCTGAAGCTTGGGTTTCTCTATCCTTTCCAGGTCTCACTTACCTTGATGACCTGCTGCCCAAACTGTGGGCATTTATCTGTGAGCTGGGGCCCCACGGCGGGTTAAAGCTCTTCTTGGAATGCCTCAGCAACGACACCGAAGAGTCCAAGCAGCTCTTGGCCATGCTGATGCTGTTCTGTGACTGTTCCCGGCACCTCATCACGTAGGTTGACTGCTGTGGTCCTGAGCTCCTTTCCTAGAATGTGGAGAAACCCAAGTTACAGTATCAGTAAGGAAGCGGTTACTGATGTGATTACTGCTCGCCTTTGGGCCCACAACTTGCTTTCATAAATAACGTTTTAAAAGCATTAGATGAGGAAGCATTTATAGAGTACGGGGCATGTCGTAGGGGTTCAGCAGTTGTTAGTTCCCATCCTCGGAGCTTCGTCAGTACCACTGCCTGTGAGCTTTGGGGTTTCCTGTGTCTGGGTCCAAATTACTTTGGCCATTTACGCACTGTCTTGGGTAGTTTACTAGAAAACTTCAGAGCCATGGAGCCAATGTGCAAAACTTGGCTCTGCCGCTTACTGAGGTGCACTGAGCAATGGAGATAACATGACCAGTGTGATAGGAGTAAATGAGAAAGGGAATGTCAAGTGCTTAGTACAGTGCGTGGTGCAGAGTGAGAAATGAACAAGTGTTAGCCCCATTCAGCCCCTCCTTTAAGCTAACGTGTCTGCTGTGTATCTGGTATTTTCATTCCACTTTTCCCCTAAAGGGCCGTGAAGAATTGTAAGATAGGATGGATCTCCGGCAGTTATGTTCAGGCTAGAAGATGTTGGCAGGAGGGGATCAGGGACTTGTAGATGGCAGACTGGGTAAGAATCATGGAGGGAAGGCTCAGTGAGCAGTTGGAGGCAAGAGCAGGGGTCTATAGCTGCCGGTGCAGATACCCTGAGCTGCTGGGTCCAGGGTGACCCAAAAGTGAATCATGTTCTAAAGTGAATGGAGCAGGGTTAGGATATTTTCAGATAGAGCTGTATCTTAAATGGTTTACTTATTCATATATTCTTCCAGACAGTATTCATTTACTCATAAGTACTTCTCAAGAACCTGCCTACTAAGTGCCACTAGTTTCTGTTGTAGATGCCAAATAAGAGACCACAGCTTCCCTCAGCAGACACAGACTCCCAGTCAAGATTCCTTGATATTCAAGCATGATTTCTGGCCCAAATTAAAGTGTCACAATCAAATCCCTCTAAGTAAAAGAAATATAGAGTGGAGCTTATTGTTTTTTCTTAATTGTATTTTTAATTTTTTACTATGGACAATTTCAAGTCAATAGAAAGAATATAGTACAGTGAACCCTCATGTGCCCATCACCAGCTTCCGCAGTTAACTCATGATCAGTCTTGCTTCATCTGTACCCCCACCCACTCTCCTCTCCCTCATTATTTGAAGCAAATTCTAGACATTTATTACTTTACCTATAAATTTTACAGTCAGTATCTAAAAGATAGAACTTATTTCTTAACCTTATTTTGTCTTCTAAGAAGGACAGATCTCATTTTTTCCCCTTTTCTCAGTGGACATTTGTGAATAATTTTCTGTCTGATTTAGGATCCTTGATGACATTGAAGTTTATGAAGAACAAATTTCATTCAAACTGGAAGAGCTGGTCACCATCTCCTCTTTTCTGAATTCCTTCGTGTTTAAGATGATCTGGGATGGAATCGTAGGTAAGGTAAAGATGGCGGCCATCGTTCAGTTGATGCTACGGGCTGGGAGGCCAGAGTCAGTAACAACAGCCACTTCTTCACCTTATTGTCTATCAGCGTTAACTGAAAATGCACATTTCTTTGCCTAATTAGAAGTTTTCTCTCTTCACTCCCTGTGACCACTTAAGACAGTGGTGTGATTAAAGAAGTCTGGTTCTCCCATGTGCTTCTGAAGATTTGCTTGCGATAGGAATTATTAGTGATGATAAATTTTGCCCCAAATCTCCTTTTGATTCTTTGAGTTGATTTTTATCTTTGAGAAGATAAAATGTGGGCCAGCTAACATCTCATATTGGAGTCCACGTCCTGATGTGTTTCTAGTGGTTCAGTACAAAGCCCCTTAGGTTAAAAAGGTCCTTGGATGACATACTAGTGGGAGGCAGCGTGAGTGATTGTGCCTAAAAGATACTCAGGTCCTATAGACACTTCAAATATAACCAGGGTGCCTTTTAATTCTCTTGGTTCCATGTAGAATTCAGAGTGGGGGGGAGGGAGATCTTGATGGGACTTGGTGACAGAGCTGTCCTTTCAGCTCCTCTCCAGTTCTGGTCAGGTGCATGAGTGTGACTTTCCTGCTTGTGTGCCCCACAGAGAACGCCAAGGGTGAGACCTTGGAGCTGTTCCAGTCCGTCCACGGGTGGCTGATGGTGCTGTATGAGAGGGACTGTCGGCGGCGCTTTGCCCCTGAGGACCACTGGCTGCGGAAGTGAGCACCAGGGGTGGGGAAGTGGGTTTGTGGAAACAGTGTCCCCTCTGTCACACTGCCGTGCGGCAGAGTTGCCCAAATGCTCTGCGCTCCTGTTCCAGAGCAGAGAGGAATTTGTCCCTCTCCTTACTTTTATTTGCATAAGGAGAGCTGTTGTTCCTGTGAAGCACCTGTCGAGACAGATCACCCAGCAGTCACTTCAGTTAAAATATGCGTACTCTGAAGGTGTTTAGAGCTCATTATAGTGGCAAAGTCAGGTCACATGTAGCAAATGTTTCTATCCAAACTGGGAAAAAGAAAAGTTTTCAGCTGAACTCAGCAACACAATATGTTAGGTAAATGCTATTTATTAAAAATCAGGTATTAGCAGGATAAAAACTACAACTAGGTCTTTTTGGGGGATGGGGTTGGGGAACCCTCTTGCAACAACTAAACAAACATAAGATCACATTCAAATTGTTTTATCAGTGACATGTCAGCTCTTGTGTAACTCTTGAAGTTGTGGCACTAGAGCAGGACTGATGAACTGTTTCCATAAAGGGCAGGCGGTACACACTTTAGGCTTTGCAGACCAGACAGGCTCTGTTGCAACTACTCGACTCTGCTGTGATAGAGTGAAAACAGCCAGCGACAGTACATAATGAATGAGTGTGGTTGTGTTCCATTAAAACTTTTTACAAAAATGGGCGGCAGGCTGCATTTGGCTGGCAGGGTATAGTTTGCCAAGAATTTTTTGTTTTGTTGTTTTAATTATCCCAAACCCATGTCTCTCTCTTTAAGGGATCTAAAACCTAGTGTGCTCTTCCAAGAACTGGACAAAGACAGAAAACGGGCACAGCTGGTCCTGCAGTACATCCCTCATGTCATTCCTCACAAAAACGTGAGTCACACTCAGAGCCCTGCTCCTCATGGGAATGCAGAGCCCCGTCTGGTCTCCCCTTGACTCCTGGAAGGCTGGCGTTGTCTTGGCCGCCTCTGCAGCTCTGCTTCTGCATGTGCTCTCTCTGCCCCATACTAGTTAACCCGGATGTGAAGCTCATCTTCTGCATCGTGTTCCATAAAATGGCACCCCTTGTTCAGGAGATCATGCTAAAGATTTGGGGTCACAGGAAGCAGTCATGCCACATGGCCCCACACAAATTAAATACCCATTTCTGGAAGTCTTCAGTCTCCCCACCATAGAAGAGGGAGGGGAGACTTCACCTGAACCACCATCCTCCCCCTGCTCTCTCCCCTGCATGTGGGCCTGGAACCCCAGGAGCATTTGACACTATTCAGAGCACTTCAGTCCTTATTTCTAGACTCATGAACTAGCTTTACTGAAAAATGGCACCAAATACATCTCTCCTTTTCAGGAGGCTGTTGGCAATTGCTTTTTCTGTTACAGCCATATTTACTGCGTAAGTTAATATAAACGATCAAATGAAATGCACTAGCCTCCCTTTGTATATGATTAATCTTTTATTACTACTGTTATTCTTGTTACTATTCTTATTTGTATATAACAAAGTCCTTGACTTTTGGGGGCACTCCCATTTTTAAAAAGTCAGCTGCAGTTGGATTTATTTTTTCATTCAGCTGACATTATTTGAATGCTATTACAGCAGTGATTCTCAAACCCAGGATGGGGCAGAGGGTCAGGGCTTGCCTAAAGCAGCTTATCAGAATCTCAAGAAAGGGGAGAGAAGGTTCTCTTCAAACAGTAATTGAGAAATATTACCAGTGGGACCACGGCGTGCTTGAGGGCACAGAGGAGGCAGATAAAAGGTCGGGAACCTTTATTCTATAGGGCCATTTTAAAAAATTCTGACAGTGAAAAAAATTGCCTTTGAAATGTTTCTGTGTTTTGAGTTTATAATATTGATTTCCTTTAAAGCTGGCCTGGCTATATAAAGCCGCCTCTGAGATTTGTCTTGCTGCCAGGTTTTTATGGTGGATTATTGACTGAACGAGGAGAATTATTTCTCCACGACCATTCTTAACTGGACTCTAGCAGCAGCCAGACCACCCTTTCTGGAAGGAACCTTTATTACTTGGCATGAATTCAGCTATATTTCTAATTCCCAAGAGTGTTTTGGGGAATGTTTACTGTTCCCTCAAGTCACTTTTAACCTACGGAAGCATCCCATTCTGATTGCATCGTGTGTGACTTAAATTTCATTAACCTTGTACAGTACGTTTTAGGGAATCATTAGTTGTTGACCCTGTCTCTGGTCTCACCTTTGCTCATTTCAGAGAGTTCTCCTGTTCCGAAACATGGTTACCAAGGAGAAGGAGAAACTGGGGCTTGTGGAAACCAGCTCCGCCTCCCCGCACGTCACTCACATTACTATCCGACGGTCTCGGATGTTGGAGGTGAGAAACCCACAAGGAGTGTGCTCTGTGAAATGCGGGAGTTCTAGTGGATGAACTACCGCCTCTGAACTGTTCTTGTCACTCCTTGATCTACTGGCACTGAAATCAAGGCTCTGGGAGCAGGAAAGGGGCCGTTTGTCTTGTTTCCTGCTCTGAGAGCTGCTTGATTAAATACGTCCTCAGTGCCAGGGACCCGCAGTGTAATAGTCCTTTCCTTTTCACCAGGAGGGCCCTTGGGCTAGACCATCAAACACTTGGTGCCTCTTTAAATGAGGACAGGAAGTGTGGTGTGCAGATCTTCTCACATCTGGGCAAGCTCCTTTTGTCCCCCAGGCACTTTGTCCAGACTCCCAACTATGAACGTGGAGGTTGAGCCATACTGGGAGATGCATTTGTCACAGAGCTAGAAGTTCTTTGTAGACATAAACTGATGAGATGCAAGGGAAGTGGCCCACTGTAGCCAAAGCCAGCATCCAGGGTTACTACTCAGTGGCAACTTCATGTGAATTAGAAATAGGTGCCAGTCCTCAGAACACTCCATGTATCAGAAAATTGTCATAATATATTGACTTTGTTGGAACAAAACCCTGGCTACCATCTGCTGGAACATTGTCATAGTAAATGCATTTACCTGCAATGTCTGCCTTGTGCATGCCACGCCCTCTCCCAGGGTTGTGCAGTGTGCAGCCTCCCAGCAGTGGACTTGGTGACTATGCCCCAAGGACCCATTTCCAGGAGAGGCTTGGCCTGATTTATTTGCCCATCTTGCTCCTTAGACCTTTTATCATACTTCAGCCACAGTTCCTCAGTAGGACATTGTGCAATTCAGGACTATCGTGGGATCCCAGGATAGCACACAGCCTTGTAGCCAGCAGGTGGCAGTGGCTGAAGCCTTTCCTCCCTGCATGTGTTCATTTCCTGCCTGGTGTTCCTACTGAATTAGGAGGGGAAGAGTCGCTTATTCAGTTAGCAGTGTTATGATCTGGTTTATTAGAACATGAGAGCCCAGGGCCTTTGCTTGATTTGGACACAGGGGGCATCAAAAAGCTGATATTAGACTCATGGTATCCAAGGCTTTTTTTCCATTTCTTGTCTGGTTTGTACTGAAGGTGGCGCTTCTGTATTAGGCATCAGGTGTTAGTACCACGGGAAGGTGTTCCTCACAGAGGGGGAACTGGGGCTGGAACTTCAGCATTTCAGAACTGGCAGGAACCTTAGACATACTTACCCAGCTTTTTCCCCTCACTCTGTCAGTAGCAGAACTAACGCCAAAGAAATTCACGTTCTCAGTCAGGGTCACTCGGATATCAGGCCCTGAAGGCAGTGAAGAACAAAGCCAACTCTCCATCCCCAGGTCAGGGTTCTGCGTTTGCTCATTGAGATGCACTAGAGAGGAGGGATGTGACCTCCCACTCACTTTCCAAGGGGCAAGTTCTAATCCTCGAGTAATGACACCAGAACCTGCCATGCAGTTGGGTATGTCAGGGGAGGCAGGAGGCAAATTCCTCTCTACGACTTTTCAGAGAGGAGTTCATATTAGGGCTGATCAAGCCAGATGGAAATTTGAGTCCAGCAAACATTCCTTGGGCACCTGCTGGGGGCTGGTCCACATGCTGAGTGCTTTCACATATACCTTCTCGTTGAATCCTCGTAGCTCAGACACCTGCTAGGTCAGGGAGGCATCATTTTAAAGCAGAGTGGAGGAAATCCTGCCAGCAAACAGGAGCACGTGCATATTCTCCACCAGTCCCCAACTCAGCGCCAAGATAATTGTCTGAAATTTAGGCAGAATGGCTTAAATGCTGCAGCAGCTGCATGGTGACTTCCTGTTTGTCCCTTCTTTTCATCTAGCGTAATGGTTCTCAAACTTCACATGCGTAAAGGTACTTACCAGGATTGTGCACGCAAAGTCATGTTCCTGTTCCTTCAGATGACTTAGGGGACTTCAGAGTAATTTTTTCTGTGCTCACTATGGAGCCTAACCCTGAGTAAGATTGGGAGCCACAGGGGAAATGTGCTCAGCTGGAAGCCAGCAAATGTTCCCCAGAACAGGTTTTGCCAGACTGGCCCCATTTTCTTTGCAACAAGGGGCCAGAGTGGCATGTGAGTGGATGCTGTGGAGTTGGTCTCTAATGTCAGCACAATGTCTGAGAGCACTGCAGTTTTGACTGAGAGGGAAAAAGGTGGGGTGGCCTCAGTAGGATGTTGTGGTTGATCCACTATTTATGTGACAGTATCTAAAGACATAGGTTTCACCCTGGTGAATGGGCCCCATGTTGGGTAAAAGGACTCCTCCCTGGGTCCTGTCCTGTTCAGCATTGTGTTTTATAGTCACTGAAATGAAAACCTAAGTTTGCTTATCAGCATCCACATGCCAGAGGTATGTGCATTAGATGACAGAATCAGGAGCCAGGAAGACCTCAACAGATTATAATCCAGAGACAGACTAAACAAAACGATTTAGCAGGAGAACTCTGAAGTTGTGTCCGAGGGTTTTGGGCAGGGGAGCTGTGCTCAATGGCTGTGTCTTGAGAGAGCTGGCTGTAAGCTAGAAGCTTGCTGAGGCTTCTCCCCTCTGCTCCTGCCCTCTTCCAGGCCCAGCATCACTCCTGCACCCCGTCTCCCTGCTGTCTGCCTTGTCCCCTGCATCCATCTGCTCTGCTGCCAACAGAAGGATCCTTCTGAGACAGAAAGCCAGCCATGTTTCTCCTTGTATAAACTCTTCTGTGGCTCCCCATTGCCCTTGGGATATAATTTAAATTCCTCAGCATGACTCACAAGGCCTTTCATAATCTGGGGAAAGGTACCAGGAGTTGAAGGTGGAGGGTGTTTTTACTTTTCATCTTCTAGCTGTAAGTTTGATTGATTGATTTTTACCATGAGCTAAAAGATACTCATAGCATTAAGTAGAGAGGGTGAGATCTTGTCCAGGTTTCTTCCATCCTTTGTCTGATGGCTGAAAGCTCCTCATGACTCATTTTGTCTAATTTCCTGTCTCACTACTCTGCATCCTTTTGAGAGTAGTCTTCCCTTGCCAAAGAGTGGTAAAGTCATGTCCCCCAAAATGAATTTTCCTTTTAATAGGCTCTCATTTAAAAGCAGGTGAGAACTGCTCTTCTTATGCATCGGTGTGTCCTGACTCATGTTTATTACACTGGGAAAGCTTTGCACAACAGAGAAGCAGCCTTGAGGGGGAAGCCCAGAATTGTGCAGCAGGCCTTGGGTTCCTAATGGGCTGTAATTCTGCCTTTGGCAGGATGGCTACGAGCAGCTCCGGCAGCTCTCCCAGCATGCCATGAAGGGCGTGATCCGCGTGAAGTTTGTCAATGACCTCGGGGTGGACGAGGCAGGGATTGATCAGGACGGTGTTTTCAAGGAGTTCTTGGAAGAGATCATCAAGAGGGTATTTGACCCGGCACTCAACTTGTTCAAGGTACTTAAGGGGAAGGAGAGTGGGGTTGACAACAGCCAAATTTGAGGTGACAAATGAGAAGTGAAGGACTGGGCTTTTTCATTACAAGGCTTTTAACCTCTCTGCCTTTATCCATCTTTTTGCCTTGCAGACAACCAGTGGGGATGAGAGACTCTACCCTTCGCCCACATCTTACATTCATGAGAATTACCTGCAGCTCTTTGAGTTTGTGGGCAAGATGCTGGGGAAGGCCGTATATGAGGTAGGCATGTTAAGGAGCATTGAACTGGAAAGGAAAATAAAATGTGGGAAGTACCATGGGCTTTATATGCATTTATGTGATCAGACCTAGCCATGTAAACTACCTGTCATCAGGATAAAGTCAAGGAAAGGACAGGAGCCAAGATTCCTATACAGAAATACTTGGTGCTTTCCCTGTGTCATCTCATTCAATCCTCTCAACAATCCTGTGTGGCTGCGACTGTCCTGTTTATATAAGGATGAGAGAACCAAGGCTTCGAGATGGCACTTATCCAGAGTGTCATCGCTGGTTCAGCAGTAGAATCCAAATTTGAACCCAGGCCAGCCTGAGTCCTAGACCAGCCCCCTGCCTCCCTGAGGGGTGAGGTGTGGTGTGCCAGAGCCAGATCTCCATGTGGGAATTTGGTCCCGGTTGTAGGCAAGCAGCATTTTATGGGGTTTGGTAGCTACAACAATTGTTAAAAAAATCTTTTGTTATTTAAGTGAGTGCTTCGACGTGAACCAGAGGTGCTTGGGAGATCCCTACAGACTAGGACATAAAAGTTGGACATAGCCCATAGCTGCTGGTTAGGACTGGGCCTCCCTGGCTAGCTACGTGATTGCGCGTGCAGGTTGCTTCCCTTCTTTAGGTCACTGTTCGCATCAGCATAGTGGGGCTAATAGAAGCTACTTTATTGGATCACTGTAGATGGTAAGTGAGGGAATACAGGTAAAACACCTATCTTGCCTTTTACCTGGTCATGGGGAAGTGAAGCTCCTATCCTTGCTGTTATTAAGAGGAAGGGTGTCTGAATTTTCTCTTCTCAGCAGTGTGGATATCTGCAGGCTCTGGTGAGGCCCGATCCCTCTCCACTGAGAGGTGAGCTGGCAGAACTCCCTCTTGGCAGCACTTGACCCTGAGAGTCATGCTCCTCGGGAAGGAAGTCAAGCTGCAGCCTGAGCTTGTCAGTGGCCAGTCTTCATGGCCTTCACAGTGGGCTCCAGGGCAACAGGAGACATATCCCAGGCTCAGGCAGCAAGGAAGTGAGCTACTTGAGCACCACTCATCTCACATCCTGTCAGAAGCCCTGGAGAAGCCAGGATGCCTTCCAAAGGCAAAGAGCCAGAGCTGGGACAGGTGGAGGGAAGGAGGCCGTGCAGGGCGAACATCCTTTGACTCTTACATAATCCATCATCCTCTCTGTGTAAATAGCCTCTGTCCACGGCCTCAGTCCCTGGCCATGAAGCCAGGTATCCCATCTCAGTCCCTGGCAAGACACCCTCCAGTCCTCCTCCTGCTCTGGACTGGTTGGGTAGCCTGGGCTCATGCTCTGTGCTTGTTTTCATAACTTCAGAATGGAGACAATTTCTCACTTGACTCCCATTTAAAAAAAGAAATTCCCATGAGGACCTACCTGGGCATGTGCCATATTTTTCCTTTAAACGTGGAGCTGTGCTGAGACCCAGAAGAGTAGGCCAGCTGAAAAGCATGATCTTGGCTGCTATGAATGTCCTACCTACTTCCTGGGCCTCATCTCTGTCTCCTCCCTCTCCAACAGCAATAATAATAATACAGATGAAAGAAGTTAGGACACACTGTACCCCTGTGAGGAGCAGCACGCGTTAACTCATGTAACCCTCCTGATCCTCTGGGTCAGGCCCTCATTGTGTTTCTTTGACTCTCCCATCTAAGCCTCTCCAGTCCACACACACCTCCACCCTTTCAGCCGCTGCCCTGCTGCACCCTTACACTCTGCAGGCAGTTCTCCCTAGCATTATACAAATGTGGCTCCTCCCAACTTAGAGCTCTACCTGCTGCCCTCAGGGTAGAATCTAGACTCCAGAAGGCTTATGAGGCCCTTTCTGATCAGGCCCTTCCTGTCTGACTGGTCTTATCACTTACCTCCCTTCCCTCTCACGCTGTGCTGTGACCAGACAGATCTGTGTTCTGTCCCTAGAACGTGCCTGTGGGCCTCATACTAAAAGCCTTGTGCTCCTTTAGATCTAGCTTAGATGCCTCTTCCTGCTGGAAGTTTCCCCTGCTCTGCCTCCAGCGGAGAGCTTGTCCTCTATGCTCCCCACACCGTTCCTGTAATTCTCACAGCCGAGAGGCTGCACTGTTACCCATTTGCAGATGGAAAACCAGGGCTCTGTGGCCTGGCAGCAGCAGAGCTGGGCTTTGATCCCTGAGCTGTGTAGCTCCAATGCCTATGTCCTTAACCACCATGCAGTAATGTCCCCAAGACCTATTCAGTAGTGTTTGTTAAGTGATGGGAGGTATTATCTTCCAGATTGAACGTTTAGGAAGTGCCTAGAGATGCTGTTGGCCCCCTCTGCAGCCTGAGCTGCCCCTGGTGAGATTATTGAGATGGAATCCTGGACAGACAGGATCCAGCCTCTGGCAGCTTCTGTCGTCTCTCCCCCAGGGAATCGTGGTGGACGTGCCCTTCGCATCCTTCTTCCTGAGCCAGCTGCTTGGGCACCACCACAGTATCTTCTATAGCTCTGTGGACGAACTACCTTCCCTGGACTCCGAGTTCTATAAAAACCTCACTTCCATTAAGGTCAGTGTGGAAAGGCGGGAGGGCTTAGCTGAGCACTAGCGGGAAGGCACAGAGAAGCGAGGCCCCGCAGGGTGTGGTGTGGTGGCGTGAGGTTTTCTGCTCTGGTAAAGATGCCCAGCTTGTAGCCACCACAGAACCCAAGTGGCCTCTGGAAGCTGCCTCTCAGAACTGATGCTCACAGCGTCCTTCCTTGCAGTGATGAGTGGCCTTCTCCTTTGCTTCAAGCTGGTCAGCAGCCCTAGCAGTTACTGCCCAAGCAGACCTTGTAGGCAGGAGTGTTCAGTTCTTCAAGGATGTAGCCCTCTCAGGTCCCAACACTTTCCCCTTCTCTGTTGTATTAGCGCTACGATGGGGACATTGCTGATCTGGGCCTCACGCTGTCCTATGATGAGGACGTCATGGGTCAGGTAGGTCGGCTTCTGTGGCTGAACTATCCTTTCTCTCCCTCTGTGGGCTTCCTGAGGTGTGCTGTATTCTTGGTGCTTTCCCCAAGAGGTCCACAAATGGATAATCTGTCTGGCTGCTCCCCTTGGCCATTCCCCTTGGCCCACCTTGCCTGGAGGGAGGGCCCCTGTTCCTCCCTCCATTGCAGTTGACCTGGCCTCTGCCCGCCGACCCTCACTGTGCTGAGATCCCTCACTGTGCCGAGGTCGCATTATGGATCATTCCTGATGGCAGCCATAACTCCATGTTTGTAACATTGCTTTTTGTTACCATGGTGAGGATTAGCTGTCACGAGGGTTGTGACTTGGGGAAGAAGACTTGAGCAAAAGTGCCTCTGAACAGAATCCTGTCCCTGTTCCAGCTCGTCACAAAGAGCAGAGCAGAAAGAAAAGACCCTGGAAATTGTGGCAGCAGAGCTATTTCCTCCCTGAGTTCTTCCTTTAGGCTCTTCTCAGGAGTGCCTCTGTCCCTCAGTGTGTCCCAGTGGACACCTGAACGAGCTTCTGTGTGCACGTGGTCTGAGGGCTGCTCTGCAGAAACCACACCGTGAGCTTAATGCAGGGCTGGCTTCTTGGAGCCCTGCCTCTGTTGCCTCGGAGAGGTCACTCAGTCTCCCCAAGCCAGTTTCCTTACTTCAAAAGAGTGCCATTTGCTGAATGAGAGCCCTTGCTGGGACTAGTGTCATCGGGCACTCTGTAAATGCCCGCATGCCCTGCCCTCCTCCTAAAGAGCCACCAAGCCCGCTGGCACATGAGGGCTCTGAGAAGCCTGTGAGAAAGAAACCTAGTTAGTTAACCTCAACTTTCCCAACACACCTGATCACAGAACTCCCCTTTCAGAGAGAGGGATGCCATCTCACGGAACGATTCTCAAAATCAGCTCAGACAAGGTGTTCCCTGGAACTGTTTATGGGAAACACCAGGCTGAGTGACTCCTAAGGGCCCTTTTATCTTTAAATCCTCTGGTGTGCCCCATGATGTACACAGCGATGGCACTAGAGGTCACTGTTTTTCAAACTTTCTACATTTTTAGAGTCATATTAATAGAATAGCTATTAAAATTAGCTTTAAAACAATGTACTTGTTGATTTTTTTGGATGACCCACAGAGGTTCTTGAAGTTGAGGAAAGCAGTTGATTATGTAGTTTTCAAATCTTTAATCAGAGTTTGAGTCTTCCTCCTGACATTTCTTAATTCTCTCTCCTAACTGTAAAAATAATGCAAACTCCTAACTAAATATCAGCTGTAGTCTGAGCATACAGATGAAAATGAAAACCACGTATACGGCTGGTGCCCAGAGAGTGCCACTGTTAACATGTGGCTGTGTCCGTCCACATTTTCCTCCCTGGCATGCACATCTTTTTTCTTTTCGTTTTTTTTTGTAGACATGAGACCATACTATGTATGTTTTTTTCCCCAACCTTTCCAATAGTACACAGTGTCTAATAACTGCACAGCATCCCAGGGTGTGCGTGCATCAACGTTTGTTTAGTCATCCTGCTGTGCTCCTCAGTGCTGACGTGTCCACAGCATCCCAAAGCCTTGATAAAGTGTCTGAACGAGGATGCGATGAGAAGAAACCTTTCACATTGATCGTGCAGGGTCTGCCTGCTGATGTGTCAGCCCGGGCTTTTTGTGAAAATGATTGTTCCCAAACACATCCCATCTTAATTCTTTCACTATTACGGACGTCGGCGTCGGTCCCTTTCATCCACAGGCAGCTTTAGTCCCCCATTAGAATTCTCTCGAGTGATTGTTCCCCATCTCCTCCCCCAGCTTGTTTGCCATGAACTGATTCCTGGAGGGAAGACCATTCCTGTTACAAATGAAAATAAGTGAGTATAGCAATTCGATTTTTAAGGTCACCACTTGAAAAGACTTCGTTCTGGCTCTCCGGGCTTACTTTGAGAATTTATTAAGACAGATTGAAGTAGAAAGAGGCCATAAATATTATAATGGAATTTACTGGTTACAGTTCATAGGCCAAAATCATATTAAATTCAATTTGCAAAATAAGAATTGACAATTTATTTTTTGCAGTAGCACTTCTAAGGTCAGAGGCAGCCAGGCCGCAGTGTTCCTGGGAATTGAATAATGGCAGACAGATGGGTTCTGAGCCATTCAGGCACTCAGGCCCGAACCCAGAGGGCACCACGGCAGAAAGACATGGGGCTAGGGGGCAGATAATTTTGGAATGATGGCATGTGGCAGTTGTATAAAACACCGTTCTTGAGCACACACAGTGACCAATTCAGATGCAGCAGACAGGTCCTTAGACGTGGCGAGATTTGGAGGCCCAGCAGCTGTTGTCACAGATAACAGGCTTTTAGGAATCTGTTGTAAATGTCAACCTCTTTGGCCCCTAGAAGCAAAACCCCTCGATGCACTGTCTTCACCCGGCCCTCTCCTCACCTAATTAAAACAATAGAACCTGGCATGAGGAGTAGATATTGGCCCTTCTGTCAATCTGTCAATCTTCTGCCGCCAGGCTCAGCTGAGCATCTGAACTGTAATCTGAGTGTCACTCTCTTCAATGACAAGTGAGAGCTCAGTCCCACCGGGTGGGGCAGTTGGATCAGGTGCACATTACAGCCCAGGGTTCCTGAGCATCACGTCTCTTGGGTTGGATGGTTTGATCAGGCTTATGCTTGGGAGCTTTTATTCAGACTGTCTGAAAAGCCAGAATAGACCCAGTTCTCACCAGGATTGATATACACCAGTTTGACTCTTGGTCCTGTGGCATTAGTATGACAACTGACAAAGAACAGAGAGCCTGGTTGGGTGGAACTGCCTGGAGGTGTCAGAGCAAGTGGATCCTGTTCCTGCCCACCGTGTGCCCTCTGACCAGCCCTTCAGAGGGCTTCACTTGAGATGACGCATATCAAGTACCTTCCGGGATGTCTGGCTCAAAGGAGCACCTTAATAAATGAGAGCAGCAATTGTCACCATCATCATTATGTGACACGTCACATACAGCCAGCCACACTCAGATTTTGGCCAGCCATGATGGCACAGGGGTGATGGTAGGAGTTGTATGTATGGCAGCCAGAGGAAGCGGGTCAGCGCAGCCTGTGTTGGGTGAGATTCCTGGAAACCGCCTGTGTAGAAAGTCACTTCACAAACTCTTACATGTGCTGAGTGTAAAACCTCAGTGTAAGAGCAAGGGTATTTCTGCAGACTATCCTAAGAGGCCTGGCAATGCAGTTTCTCTCTCCTTCAGGGTGATATTTGACTTTGCATTTCCTGGATGTTAATTGGGAAAGTCACTCTCTTTCTCTGGTAAAATGGAACAGTATTAGTAACTAGCTTCAAAGAGTACAGGAAAGGAGTGACAATAATAGAAAAGGTCATATTGAAGTATATTAAATGTGCAAGTTTGCTGCTGGATAGTTTTTTAAAGTAGGGATATTTTCAAGGTCAGTAACGCAGATCTGAGTGTTGTGAGGTAAAACAGAATTGTTTGGACTATACTGATTTGGAATTTCGAGAGTTGTACCTGGGCTGGGCTCTGAGTAAATGGCTTGCTAAGAAATCAGCAATGCTAGCAAGCTTGTTGGGATGTATTTAACCTGTTCAAAAGAATTGTAGTATATTATACAGTTGTACATGCGATCATTGTGTTCATAAAATCAGACCCAGAACCTTGGAACCATTGTTAGTGCTCTGAGGTCCTGGTTGAAAGTAATCGTAAGCCAGCTGCATTTGATTAGAACTTTCAGGGGGCTTACCTTTTCATGGCCTTGCTCTTGGTCCAGATTAGCAAGGTTTTGATTGAAGTTGCAACATGAAGCAATTTTTCTGTTTATAGCTTATTGGAGGACTGAGTGATATCTTAATTGGTATATGTTCAAAAAGATGAAATTAAATACAAGTCCAGAAAATACCCTTTGTACCAAGAAGGGCCCTCTCCTGACCTGGAGCATGTCTCGCTTTGACTCTTGACACACTGGGGTGTTATCCTGATGTATATGACCCACTGGTTTGTGTGTGTTTGTGTGTGTGTGTGTTTTGTTTTGTTTTTTGGAGGAGTGAATGAGGTGATGCCCTTGAACATTTGCCTTCGCAGTGGCACATGGTACCATTCAGGAGAGCTGTCATCGTCATCATCTCCGTTCTGGTGAAGTGTCCTGGTACTACTTGAGTTTTTGTAAAATGGAACAGAAATGACTGAAGCCCATTGGGAACAGCCTGCCCTGTCCCGTTAATTTCCATTATTTTCTTTTGTTGGCAACAGAATTAGCTATGTCCATCTGATGGCACACTTCCGAATGCACACTCAAATAAAGAACCAGACAGCTGCCCTCATCAGTGGATTCCGCTCTATCATCAGACCGGAGTGGACCCGGATGTTCTCAACCCCTGAGCTGCAGCGTCTCATCTCCGGTGACAATGCTGAGATCGATCTGGAAGATTTAAAGTAAGGAGTGAGTGAGAGGGCGAGGGTAAAGTTCTTAGGCCTCCTGGAAAGCAAGCTGCTTCCTTGCTGGGTTCCTTTTGGAGAGTTATTTTAGGAGCTCATCTCCAAATGCACTCCTCCCTCCCTGATCACAGGTTAATTGCTCTGGGATAAAAACTCAACCATTTCTCTGCCTAGAAACTGAAGTGGAAGCAGATCTGGGCTTTCTGAGGTTCTGGGAAATAGTATTGCAGGATCTCCTCTTGGCTTCTGCTTGGGAACAGCAGGGCCAGTTCTTGAACTCTATGCCCACGTAGCTTCCAGGGACATGGGGTTATTAAGGTATGAACTCCTGGCTTAAGAGGACTTAGTAGTGCCACTTGTCTAAATGTCGCGCTTACCTGTCCCTGTGTGTGACTGAGGCCGTTGTCTGGATTGTTTCCAGGAAGCACACAGTGTACTATGGTGGTTTCCATGGAAGTCACAGGGTCATCATCTGGCTCTGGGATATTCTGGCCTCCGACTTCACGCCCAACGAGAGAGCTATGTTTCTGAAGGTATTGTATATGTTGCCTATACATGTGTTTGTGCTTGCACAGCTATTTTCCTAAATCTAGAAGGCCAGTTGATGTAATAATTTACACTGGAAAAAAATTAAATTATCCAGAGGGCCTCATATCATCAACATACTCTGTCCTATAGCCGGACTTAGATAGTAGGTTAGTAGTAACCAGAGAGAGGGCCTCAAGGTGAGGTGAGGTGAGGCTGAGGCTGAGTCCGAGTCCGACGAGCCTGTGAGCCTGCTGCAGACCCTCTGCAGGGACAGGCATGCATGTTGGGCTCAGCACGCCATCTGCCCTTTGCTGGTGCTGGCCTTGCTAACACTTTCTTGCGTTCCTATTGTCATAGAAGTGATTAGTGCTTGTTGCCTTACCTCAAGAAAATAGAGACAGGCAAACTTAAACATCCTCTCTTCCTACAGTGTGAGATTTAAATAGTCTCCATTTCTGCTCACCAGGGACTACCTCTGTGTAGCCTTTTTATCAGTAGTCTGAACATGCAGTACCACACACACAGTGTCCTAGTAACGTGCACAATCAGGTAGGCAAACATTAATGTGTATTTTGCGGAGAATGGCTGGCATTAACCAGGACCCCTGTACTGGTGTCTTTAAAATTGTGATGTTCAAAATGTTCCCCCAATGCCATCGTGTTGTTTTCTGTTACGTTGGCAAAGTGTTTATAGGACACTGGACAACACACTTGTCTGTGTGTGTGTCATATGCATGCAGCACTCTAATCAACTGAGCTACCTGGCCAGTGCTGTATGTGTGCCCCTCTGCCTTGCTGGCTCCGAGGCCTGAGTTTTGTCAGCATGCTGTCAAATTTATTAGTCTGTCAGAGAGAGGCCCCCAGGAGCCAAGCTCGAAGAGACTGCTCTGTACACCAGCAGGCAGGGGCTCAGGCGAGCGCACCCACGCATCCTCCCTGCGTGGCTAAGAAGCTGAGCAGGAAGCCAGTAGCAAGGCAGTGGGATCTGCATTAGGGCTCCCTGTGCTGCGGTTCCAGGCCCTCAGCGCTTCCACAGCCCTCTCTCGCGCCACACTTAACTCCTCCCTCACTTCTTCTCTCCGGGCCCTTGTCACCTGGTATCTCTGAGGAAGGGGGTCAGCAGCAGTGATTCCTGCTGCCTGTGTGACACTCCCACTGGAGACCATTCCCCTGGTGGGAGTTGGCATTGTCCCTGAACTCTTCGTTAGCCACGTTCTCCACCAGACTCCCACAATGACCTGTTGTGTCGCTGGTGTGGATTTCACATGTTTTAGCCCCAGAGAGCAGCCCTTAAGAGACATGTGAGATGTGTCCCAGTTCTTGGGCTGTTCCCTCTGTGACCCGTCCTGCCTGCCAAACAACAGTTAGTGATGCTGTGACTACAGGAATAAAAGATACGAGAGCCCGTTTCTGAGGGAGCGCAAGCCCCATTTTGTCCCCTGACCCCGCCTTGTGTTGCAGTTTGTGACCAGCTGCTCCAGGCCCCCGCTCCTGGGATTCGCCTACCTCAAGCCTCCTTTCTCCATTCGCTGTGTGGAAGTGTCAGATGATCAGGTACCACTGCTGGGGGAGGGTCATCTGCTGTGCCCTCTGAGCCAGGTGAGGAGGTTCCACAGTGCAGCGGGAGAGCAGGCTGGCCCCACCTCCTCGGCTCAGCCCCTCTCTCCTTACTCCCTCAAGAGTAAGAGTAGCTGGGGGGCGTTTTTAGCCCTCCTGGTCTGGCCAAGGCTCCAGGTCTGAGAGGCGGTGTGAGAGAGAGGGGTGAGGACCCAGGCCTAGGAACTGAACAGGCACAGGCTTGAATGCCAGCTCCTCCAGCTGCTGGCTGCACATCTGGGCCGGCAGCTGCTCTCCCCCATCTGGAAGGAGAGTGAATGCCTTGGGGGTTATCGTGCTCTGGGGGGTTGGTGCTCGAATAATAGCCCTTATTAAAAGTGTCTTCCGCCTTCCATTCCTAGCAGCCTAGTGGCCTCTGAGTGTCACTGCCTCTCAGGATGCTGCGGTCTAGGCTTCAGATCCTCCTCTTGTGGGACACTAGCCCCCTTTATGAGGGCTGCCCCAAGTTAGTCTGCCACAGCCTCAGCCCAGCAACGTCTGGGAGGAAATGTTAGGCTGCCCTCAGAAATGTTTGGGGACCTAAAGTATTTTTACAGTATCTGGCTCTGAAAATTGGTTACTCGATAATTAGTGGTTAACCAGAAGGCCCCATTTCCTAGTGCTTATCACAGGATCCCCTGTGCAGGGCCAAGGAGCAGGGCTGCTGCTGTGCGCTCACCCCTCGAGGCTCTTCCCTGTTTGGGGGCTGCCACAGGCAGTGCTGTGCACACTCAGGTCCAGCCACACTCTGCTTGTACCCGGGCGCAGCCAGGTCTCCCCTGCCTCCTGTTTTGGCACCTGCCCAGGCTCTCACGCCAGGCACCTCCCAACCCGAGGCTGTGACTTGTGCTTGCAGGACACCGGGGACACCCTGGGCAGTGTCCTCCGGGGCTTCTTCACCATCCGTAAGCGGGAGCCTGGCGGCCGCCTGCCCACCTCCTCCACCTGCTTCAACCTGCTCAAGCTGCCCAACTACAGCAAGAAGAGCGTTCTCCGGGAGAAGCTGCGCTACGCCATCAGCATGAACACGGGCTTCGAGCTGTCCTAGCACCGTCCCGGGAGCATGACCAACATGCTGGGTGACGCTGCCCAGACCCTCTCTATAGCCATGAGACTCCCCTGTGGCCTCAAGACTTTGGGATGCACGTGACAACTCCACACAACATTCTCCAGGTGACACTGATGGGAAGGGGTGTCAGACATAAATCTCCAGATTCTGCCAGCATCGGTCCTTTCTTCTTACATCCCAGTGGCCTGGAGCCCAGGCCTGTGATTGTGGAGGGGCTTCTCTTTTTTGATAGTTAGGTCTTTTTGTGAGTCTTTCTTTCCTTACCGTTCTGAGTGAGCTGTGCGTGAACAAGGCCCAGGCACTCCAGGGCTCCAGAGTGGTTTCCGTGGCATGGGCCTTTGTGCACAAAACCTAGTACACGTGAGATGCTCTCCTTCCGTTTCTGAAATCTCTACTCAGGTAAGGCCTTGCCAAGCCTCTATGCACCCAACAAAGTCTCCACCTCCATCCCATCCACAGCAGCCTCTCTCCAGACCGCCAAGTCCACCTGCTCCCCAGGGAAGGAGAGGCGCCTGCCAGGAGGTCATGAGCACAGGAAGTTCCAGGCGCTGCTCCCACTGGGAAGCCTTGTGGCAGCCCCCCTCCCTCACTCTAACCTCAGATGCTCTGCGTCCTCAGCGGGCCTCTGCCAGGGAGCCTCCACTGGCTTGTTCCCAAATGTACGTTCACATTGGCATCCTGGGTTTACCAGAAAACACCTGTTGGCCCTAAGAGCAGCTCCATTTCTAGAAGGCACCAGCTGTTACCCGAAGCCTCCCAATCCCCAAGGAGCAGCTGCCTTTCTCCTGCCCATTTGCTCGCTGTTATCTGGGAAGAAAAACACTAACCAAGGCCCTGTCCCATTGGGCGTGGCTTTACTCATAGATTGTAAAATCCCAAGACACTTGGGTTTTGCACCCATCCTTCCAGTACAGAGAACCCGGGAGACCTTTGCACTGACTCCGCTCACGAGGCTCAGGAAATTCACAGCCCCCGGGGTTGGTTTTCTCTGTTGTTTTCTTACCGTTTGCTCTTTCAACCCATTGCTCCTCGGTCCTCATTCTCCATCTTCACCTTGAGAACTTGAGCTCCAGGGAATTGAGGCAAAGGCCATGTCAGACGTGTTGACAACCATCCACCCTCGCCCACCTCATCACACCCCTTCAGCCTCCCCACCACGGAGACTGAGCCAGATTAGAAGCCAGGAGTGCCTGGTCCCCTCCCTGCTCCGTGGAGCGGCTTAGGGCTCATAGCTCCCTTCCAAGCAGCAAAACACCTTCCAGGAAGAACCTTCACATTGGCAGCAAAGTGAGCAAGACCTGTCTCCACGGCTTCCGTCAGAGGGTTTCTGCCGAGTGCCAGTGTCCCTTCCTCACCCAAGCCTGGCTGTGCTGGAGCCCCTGGCTTCTGGAGAACTTGGATGGAAAGACAGCAAGGAATTTAAACACAGATGGGAATTTACCATTTAAGATTTATCAGCAACCTCTGACTCTACGGATTTGCCACTTTAAGTGCTCGCTTCCTCTGAAGATCTCTTCTGAGCGTGTCTGTGTACACTGAGCAGGTTTGTACATCTGTGCTGGGGCCTACATAATTGTCAACCTGTACAAACAAACGTGATCCCACCTTGATTTCTGTCACCCGAGAGTCATCCTGTGTGGGACTGGGGGGAGAGTGGTTTCTAAGCATCAGCTCGGGGCTTCTTTTGACGAGGAGGGGTAGTTTGATATTTCATTTACACTCTTCAACAGCTGGAAATATTGCACTATCTAAAACACTACACCTGTGCTTTTATAGCTGGTGTTCAGCAACACCGTGATGGCTCTTGATGGCTCTAAAAAGTTGTGGGTTTTTAAAAAATAAATTATAAAACCAAAAGTCGTGGCCATTTTTGTTTTCACAGATGACTTACAGATTAAAACGTGATCAGAGGCTTTATTAAATTTGTACTTCAGCACACGATGGCTGTGTTCTGCTTTTTCTCTGATGGAGCGCTTTCCAACCCCGTGCCTGGATAGCTCCAGATGGGCGGCTGGAGCTTAAGCACACAGGCTTCCACAGCGGAAAGAAGATACAGGGATAATGTAATATCTCCGGGTCTCCCTGCCTAACCAGAGTTAATAGCGGCTGACCATTTGTCAGATCTGAAAGGTCATACTTTTCAGATAAAGGTGGAGTCACCTCTGTACCATCCCTGCTCCTGTCCTTCTCACCCACTTCCCAGAGGCAGCCATCACTGCTTTATTGCATAGGGAAGGGTGTGTGCTGGGTGTCCCACTTGGTGAGGAAGGCTTGAAGTCATTTGGGTGCAAAGAGATAAAGGGAGCTGCAGGAGAGGGGGCTTCGAGGGGAGGTAGGGGAGCCTGAAGTTAGGGGCAGAGAGACAGGGAGCAGGGACATTGGCAGCAAAGCTAATGGAAGTCGAAGGGGGACCGTCGGAGTCACGCAGACCCAGGGCCTAATCCCAGCCCAGGTGCTTTAGAGCTATGTGGTCTCATGCAAGCAAATCCACCTCTCTGAACCTCTGTGTCCTTGTCTGTAGGATGAACCAGCTACACTCCCGGTGCCCAGGGTCCCTGTAGATGAAATGTGACCACCGGGCAGAGGGCTGAGCACAGTGCTCAGCCTGGAGTAAAGGCCCAGAGCGCGGTGGTCACTGCTGGTACCATTTACCCTGGTACCATGACACCCCCACTCCTGTCCTTGGTGACAGATGTGTTCTAATTACCATCATTCACCACCCCTTACCTTTCACCTGGCTGCTTCCTCTTCTGAATGCCTTCCTTCCCGTCTCCAAAGTGGAAACCCTCCTTCCAGGCGAAAATAAAAGAACACATCCTTTTGGGGCCCTTTCTCCCTAAACAGATGTGACCCCTCTTCTTTGACCTCCATGTACTACTTGTCCCATCACCATGAAGATGCTTTTTAAGGTGTGACTCATGTCCATCCCTCAGATAAGAGTGAGGCTCGGAGGGGTGGCCGGAGCTCTTGCAGCCAGGAGGTGGCCAGGCTGGGCTTGGTACCCATGTCTGTCTGACCGCACAGCCCACATCTCCACCTCAGCCCGGAGCTGTTTGGGCAATAATCAGGGCAGTTGTTATTATTACTGGGATGATTTTACTGAGGAGGGAACTCCTGCAGCCTCCTTCCACCTGGGGAGCTTTGATTAAGGTGGGGGTATGAGGGTAAAGCACAGCAGGTCACCTTTGGCTAGGTGACCCCCCCCCCCAAATCCTACTCTGCCTTTTACTCTATAGCTGGGACCAGTGCTGTTCTGCAAATTGTCACCTCTCTGGTTTCACCAGGACTTGGAGAGACTAGCTCTGAGGTCCTTGTCAAGTCCTTAAAAATGCTTCAGGGCCTTATTAGCAACGTGGGTACAGTGTTGTCTGTTTCCAGCACCCAGTCCAATCTGGAGTAGAGGTAAGTCCAGCTCCCTGAACCATCCTTTCCCTGCAGGGACTGGCCCCCCTGACTCTACCAACCTGCTTATGTCCCACCCAGGGACAGTGTTCAGGGAAGGGAGCATCACCCTGCATGGGGCAGTGAGGGGGTCACATGGAGTCTGCCGTACAGCCCGGATGGCTTTGTCACCATCACAGATGGTGCCAGATGGGCCTGGCAGCTGGCAGGTGTCCCAGCCAGGAGCTGGCCCAGGAAACCAGACTGCCAGGGAGTTCAGGCTCACATCCATTCATCCAGCAAATGGACATGCGGGACCTGCCTGTGCTCCTGGCTGGACTAGGTGCTGGGGGTTCAGGCAGGAAGAATATGGACACTGCTCTGCCTGACAGAGCTCA